GTGCGAGATCAGGACTGTATGGCGGATGGTGTAGGCGCTCCCAACCAAGAGTTGCAATATGGTTTTGCGTTGCCGTCACCGAATGTGGTCTGGCATTGTGATCCAACAGCAGAACGCCAGATGTGAGAAGGCCAGGCCGCTTTTTCCGAATCACCTCTTTCAATTTCGACAGGGTGTCACAGTAGCACATAGCATTGATGGTTCCAACCTCCAAAAAATCCAGCAACAAAACTCCTTGGGCGTCCCAGAAAACTGTGAGGAGCACAGGACAGGTGATGATGGATGTTTCTACTCCATAGATGTGGCCTTCGATTCTGACGTGAAATGGTGGACCCACGTTTCATCCCCCGTCACAATCCGAAACAGAAAGTCATTGCCATCTTCATGGTAACACACGAGATGTTCCAGGCTGACCCCCATGCGTTGTTCCTTGTGTGTCGAGGTCAGTTGTCGGGGCACCCATCGTGCTGACACTTTTCTGTATTGAAGAATGTTGTGGATGATGTTTTGAGCTCGCTCATGTGAGATTCCGAGTTCTTCCGCTACTTCATCGATGGTGATACGCCGGTTCGCTCTAATCATGTCATCCACCTTCCTGACATTTGCATCTGTAGTGGCCGTGCGCATCCGTCCAGCTCTCGGTATGTCCCCTCCACTTGCTGACGTCCATCACTGAATGTGCGACACCATCTCCGCACCATTTCCTTCGACATCACACCTGGCCCATAGACTTCCACGAGGCGGTTATGAATTTCTGTTCCTGATACTCCACGTGCCCATTCATAGCGGATAACCGCTCTCACTTCGTCCTTTGACCACGAATTCAAAACGCACCTTCTCTCCATACCTACCGGGGCTCAAATGAGAGGCTGGTCTCCGCTTTGCGCAGGCACTGCAACAGCGCCATCTGCTTGATTTGCAGCGACCTCTACCCAATGGTGTATCGGTGACTTGCGCGTTTTCCTGCTGTGTCGCCTTTCGCCCATAGCCGTTCAACGCTTCTTCCATATGCAAAGCGTGAATCTTTCTTGGAGGACTTTTTGAAGCTTATCAAGCGATATGACAAATGTCTCAACGTACTCGTACGAGAATAATAAAATAAAGGTATGTCATATCTTTAATGTCTCATTCTATTTTTTGACTTTCATACACAACTCTGACCACAGTCGACAGGGGAAATTTATTTTTCAACTTACATACGTATTAGAAACTTTAAAAAAATAAATATCGTTAAAAATAATGAATTAATTTTTTGTTGAAAACGTTGTTTTTTAAGATGGCTTTCAAATGTTTCAAATGTACATTTACGAAGAGTATAAAATGCTAAAGTAAGGTTAAATTATTACTTTCATATAATAGAATAAAAACACCACTAAAAAACATTGAGCCAACATTTAATTGGATTAAAATATTGCTTAAATTGAATATTGAATTAAAAACATCATACCAACATTTAAAAGAATTAAAATATTACTTAAATACTTTAAGTAAGTTTTATAGGATTTAATTATTTAACATTAAAACATATGTGGCAATAAATATCTCAGGAATTTTTGAAAACATTGTATTAATTTTTTAATAAATGTTGAAGTATACAATTAAAAAGTAAAAGAAAATTATTTACTTACATTTTTTTAAAGTATTTTACCTGTCGTGTATTGATAAATACCAGAAAAAAAAATGACATCTGTGATCCACATCTCTCGCACTTCATTGGAGAAGCAATTAGCAAGGTTTCCTCCAAAAATTTAAAATAAATTTCCTATGACGCTATTAACAATTTATAAATAAATCTTTGATTAGGAAACTCAGGTTGGTCAAAATAAGGTCTCAAATTGCAATTTTTTTATTCCGATACCAATAATTCTTGGTAATTACCAATAACAACATTCATCTTCGAAACGGACATATCCATTCCATTTGAAATCTGAGGAATTAGAAGAGATGAATAATAAAATTTTAAAATGGCGCGATAATGCACAAATATTCAGTAACCAATAAGGGAGCTGATTACATTACGCATAGAATTAAAATTATTTAAATAATCATTCATAATAAAATCATCTTTAAAACAAATGCAAAATTAAATTGTATTTTAATATTTAACATCCATAATGTTTAAAACATTAGATTAAATTTATAGATATTAATAAAACCAATTACGTTTTAAGTAAGGTGACGTCATTGATTACATCATCCACAACATAAAATTATGTAAATATTATAAACAACAAAGTTTTTATTTCAAACGAAAATGCAAAATTAAGTTGATTTTTAATATTTAGAAGCGATAAATAATATTTAAAACATGGAATTTATGCATAATAAAACGCATTCTTTTTTAAATAAAATGACAACAAAGTATCGGTTACCATAAATAACTTATCCAGCAATGGGTTTACCATAACTCGTATTACTCGTCAAAAGAAAAATTGCCAAAATCCGTGCAACCGTCTACCAAAGTAGCACCAAAAATTACAATGAAATAAGCTATATCCCTTAATACAAATATTAATTATCCTAATTAAAAAATTAACCAACTTTCCGTTGAAGAAAAAAAAATCATGCAAAACTTTTCAATATCTTACAAACAGTGAAATAAGCAAAAAATAACATGAAAGTAACTCAAAAAACAAAAAATTCCACACAGAATTTTACTTTGCAGAACAACTTTATAAAAAACATCAATAAAAATGTATTATATATATATATATATAAATGGCAATGAAATATGCCCATCTCTTAAAAACAGTGACATAAGAAATACGATGAAAAATTGTTGCCAAACCCATATTTCTATAAGAATGAAATTATTAAAAATGGTGTGATTTCATCAAACAGTTTACAGTTTTGCCTCTTGGGAAAGTGTCTTCATGGTATTAATACGTAATGGACGTGTTTCATTGGGAATTTGTGAGGAATTTCTTATCTTTTGAAGAATTTATGGAAGAACTGTGAAAACAACACTATTTGAATTTCGATCTCAGAAGTCTTCCACGTGTTTATCTTCCCTTTATTTTCTTATCTCTCCACTAGACACAAGCATTGAAGCATACAAAGGAAGTGAAACCAATATTTTCTTAAAAGATTCATTTTATTTGTGATGTGCTTGTCTCATACAAGACTCGTACATACCTCAGTGCTTGTCTAAATTTTAAATTTTTTGCCATCCCTAGATTTTTGTTGGTTGGTGCTTCGCTAAATTCTAAAAATTCTGCCACTCTGGTGCTGGTACTGACCTTATATCATTTCACATTTATTCTCAATACTCATATTATTAAAGAAATACAAAGTTAACAACTTCTTCTATACATTCTAAGTCAAAGCAGTACTTTAAAATAATATCATTGATTAAATCAAAAAATTCTAAAATAAAGAGGAACTTGGTTTTATAAAAGAGAGAACGTTATTCTTCAAAATTACATTGTTGACACATTAACAAAGTAGGAGATGAAACAGATACTAGTGGAAACATTGATTTATTTTTTGAAACAAATAAACTGGAAAGAAATTGATATAAATTAGCTAATATATTTGGGAATTTTTCAAATTAAAAAGATGCAGTAATATTTTTTGTTTATTGTTACTACAAAACATAAACATTTTGTAGCTTTTAATGAGTAATTGTACGAATATCATTTCAGAATCAACACCATAAATTATAACTACAGTAAAATGTTCATAATGCTTTTTTAATGGATATTTTTAGAAATAAAAAAAAATAATTGTAACCATTTAAATCTATCGTGATTAGGAATACCTAACTACACAATTTAATTATTTGTAACTAACTGCTTACACTTAAAAGCTATCTCTGTATGTTATCTCAGTATTGTTTTTCCTTAATCCTTTTTGTGGATTTAAGATGCAACACAAAACTGTAAAAATCAACTTAAAAACCTTATTCCTTACAACTAATGAGACTTAAAATAATACAAAACAACCGATCACCTCTGATGCAGTGTCAGGCATTCACATCTGTTCTGATCAGTGGCTTTCTGTCTTCTAAGCGAGCGGCGGGAGACAACAACCAAGCTTCTGTTATGAGTCGTGCTGATTATTATTTTACTCCTCAATTTAATTAATGCTAGACATAAAATCTACCTAGACCTTTTTAGTGAGTGCGTACATGACAAAATGAGGCACAAGAGAAAAAATAAGTGTAAAGCTAACTGTTAGTAAAATTTAAATAAAAAAATCACTAATCTTCTGTAAAATATGTAGGACTGTTATAAGTGTAAAATATAAATGTTTCAAGAAATTTTATAATTTAGTTCCAATTACTTAAAAAAAATATGTAGTTGATTTTGTTTTATAATTAAGTTATTTTAGATTAGGTTCAATAATAATGCATCCTGCTTGCAGATTTATTTTGCTTTTACAAGTTACAAAAGGGAAGTTTGGTTGTAGATAATTGCTTTAGTTTATTCAGTTCCTGTTTGCTGATAGGTCCTTAATTTTTTCCTAATAGTTTGCTGATAGGTCCTTAATTAAGTTTGGTTGTAGATAATTGCTTTAGTTTATTCAGTTCCTGTTTGCTGATAGGTCCTTAATTTTTTTCCATTGATGGTCCTTAAAAGTGATTAATTACCATGCGCACAAATGTGTACGAACCCTGTATTAATCATTGCATTGTAGTCCAGATGTTTTCTGTGTAAAATATAAAATATTCTGTGCCTATTATAGTTTGTTACTTTAAAATAGGCACTTCAAGGCTGTTTTTTCCTCCCTGCAATCATGCCTCATAACTATGGTAAGTGTTGTGCAGAAAAAAGTTATATTCTTCATTTTCCTCTTTGATGATGACGACAACACACATTATAATCATAAATGAGGGGTGTGTCGCTGTGACTATAAAGTGCATATTTTAAACTAATTATTTTTTTCACTTTCACAGGAGCATATGCATATCATAGTTAAAATATTCTTAGAATCTGAAGGGAAGAAAATATATAGTGTTCTTAACTTCACTTCTTATATTCTAATTTTTATTTTTGTAGGATGAAGAAGAGAGATCCAGGAAGTGCTCCTAATCTTGGGGACAGAGTGCCTTATGTTATTATAGCTGCTAGTAAAAAAACTGCAGCATATTTAAAATCTGAAGATCCTATCTATGTGCTAGAAAATAGTATTCCTATAGATACACAGTATTATTTAGAAAACCAAATATCAAAACCATTGCTTAGGATTTTTGAACCTATTCTTGGAGAAAAAGCAGAGTCCATTTTGCTGTGTACGTATTTTCTTTTTTTATTGGGCAGTGAAACCTCAGTTCACAGACTTAATTTGTTCCTGAAAGCCTTTTTCAACCAAAATGTTCATTAACTGAAACAATTTTTCTGGTAGGAATTAATGTAAAATAGATTAATTTGTTTCTGCACCACAGATGGTAACTTATTTAAACTTTACGCCAGTATACTTTATGCTTAAGTTCATAATCAAAAACCAATAGAAATCATTACATATTAAATAGATAAAGATAAACAGAATCTTAAAAAAATAAAACAGATTAAAACTTAATTTATTTTTTTACCTTTGTAAGGGAGAGTGTATAGATTAAATGGCATAAATGGAAAGTGCTGAAGAGGCTGTTCTTCTTTGGATGTAAATTTTTCTTCTATAAAATTATTAGGCCTTTAGTTTGCATGGTTTTTAATCTTTTCTTTTTCTCTAGATGCCACTTGATTCTGCATGAGAAATCATTGAGACTCAATTTCACTCAAAATTTCGGCATACTTGTTGATGCCTACCTTTTTAAATGTTTCTAAAATAAGGCTTGGTACTGTCATTCAAAAAGGCCTATGCTGAACTTGCTACTGTTTTATCAGTGATAACATTATATGAAAATTCTGCATCTTACCCCATTTGGAAAAAAAATTATGCGTCAGAGAATTAAGGTAATTTTTGCCTTCTTCCTCCTCTTCTGAAGACATTTCTTTCACAATCCCCTTCTGTTGTTGTAATTCTTTCTTGTTGAGCTCATTTTTATCGTCTCTAGGAACTCTGCATGTCTTAATTTTGGTTTTCCCTAGAGACACAGTATCATAGATAACAAAAAGTTCCAAAGTGCTAAAAGACTGTGCTTGCAATCTGTTCTGGCCATAATTTTCCTCCAAATAGAAATCATGGTCCTGGAAGTCACTTTCTACCAGGCTTTGTTATGGAGTGTTAAACAATGGGAAATGATGTTTGTATAAGTCCCTGAGTGTTAATAATGTAAAACAGGTTACCTCAAAACACCTCTGAGAATCATAGGTTACCGACATATCTGTTATAAAATTAACAAAGCAGAGCAATGGCTAAGCGAATTTCGGACTTTAATACAGTCAAAAGTCTTTAATCCAGACTCGTTGGGACTTCGGCGATTCCGGATTATAGATCATCAATTTAAATCTGGTAAGACGGCATGCAGAAATTATAAAATAAAAAATATGAAACCGTAATTTATGAAATAAAGAGCAATTACGATCTAAAGGGTATCAAAATTTAAAAAAAAAAAAAAAAAAAAAGCTTAATATTTATTTGTTTACATTATTAAACATTTCTTTCAACGTGCGCATGTGCAAAGCATACATTACGCATAGTCGAAATTAGAAAATTGCAACCAGAAAACTATTTGATGTGTATTCATGATATTTATAACGACGAGGAAATTGATTTAAATCATATCGGAGTACATCAAGATGAAACACTACATTTAGTAAGGAATTATAAGCCGAATAAAATAAAAACATCTGCCCCGAAGATAAGGACAGTGCTGACAGATCAACTTCCAGTTCATTGTGCTCCCCCCCCCCACACACACACAGAGCAGCGTGAAATTGATAAATAGATTTTGGAATGGTTAGAGAAACAAAGAATATGCCTTTTTTTGCTTTGTAGATCCTTTGGCAGCTCCAGAATCAGAAATTCTTTTTTGACATAATCGAAAGTTCAAGCTTTTATAAAATTGCTCTAACAGTCTGCAAAAAATAATAAGCCGGATCCAATTCAAAGATTAAGAACAACGCAATCTGCAACATTAAGTGAAATGGATAATTAGATAATTTTAGCTTAGTTTATACCATCCGTTATACATTAAACGCGCATGCGTAAATGTATTATGCGCATGTATAAATGCATTAATATGTTTACACATGCGCAGAAAGTTTGTAGCTTTGAGGTCCGGATTATGGACATCGGGTTTAAAGACTTTTGACTGTAACAGGAAAGATAAAGAGAACTTATGTATGTCTTATTGTTTACATGAAAACGTTTAGAATGACAGAAATAATAGTTATGCCAGATGCATAAAACATAATAATACAACAAAACAATGATGCCACTAAAAGTGCACATCAATTAAATGCTCAATTCTCAACAACCTCCTTCGAGCATGAAAATAGTCATTGTTCATATAGATTAACCTTTACTTATTGACTGTTTTTACACCAATCAACTTCTTCTGAAAATAAAACTCTGGTGCTGGAAGCGCCTGCGTCAGAATGTCTGTTCGTTGTTCATTACTTCTGGCATAGCCTAATTGAAAATATCCCTTCAAGAACTCATCTTGCACAAACTTGTATCTTTGGTCAATGTGCTTTGTGTGTGCGTGGATCATGGGATTTTTGATGTACTTGATAGTACTCTGATTATCAATTTGTAAGATAGGCAATGAGACATTATTAGCTATCTCATTGAACAAGCCCTTCAACCATATCAGGTCTTTCATAGCATCAGCTGCTGCCATGAACTCTGCCTCTGTCGTTGAATTGGATATGGCCTCCTGTAGCTTGCTTCGCTGCGTAATTGCATCTTTACCATAGAAAGAAATAGCATCTGTTCAAGACCTGCATGTTTCTACACAGCTGTTGTTATCTGCATCACTAAACGACATCAAACTTCTATCATCTTCATTATTGTACACAATGCCATGTCCTATGATATTGCAAAGGTATCTTAATGTTGTCTGTATGATTTCCCAATCGCTCTGTGTAGGATTGTTCAGCTTTCGAGACATCAAACTCACTGCGTAAGCAATATCTGGTCGAGTCCCCATTGCCAAGTACAGCAAACTGCCAACTACTGATCAGTATGGAATTTCACTGCTGAGAGGTTTCGCCTCCTTGATCTTGATCATGCCTATCGTCATTTGATTGACCATAGTCGACTTTGAGACTTGACTTCTTTACTGGGATGTGTGATGTCTTAGCATCTCCATATCACTCTAATATCTTTCTTGTAAATGCTTCTTGGTGCTGGAAGAGTGAGCTGTCTTTTAAACGTTCAATTTGTAGACCAAGGAAACAATTTAACGTCATTACTCGAAAATTAAAATGCTGCTTAGCTCGTCCATAAATGTGAAAAATGATGCTTTATCCTGAACAGCAACTATACCATCATCAATATAAATTGCCATCAGCATCTTATGTCCATAATCATTTCATATGAATAGGCAGTTGTGGATTTACTTTGGATCATGTTATGTTTCTTTAGCACGTCTGTAAACTTGGCATTCCTACACCGCCCAGCTTGTTTCAAGCCGTATAAAGGTTGGAGCATCTTGCATACACACTTACTTCTGTCATTATAGCCTTCGGGATGATGCATGTAGATCTCTTCAGTTAGGTCACCGTAAAGGAATACCGTCTCCGCGTCAATTTGATATAACTTGAGATTCTCCTTGGCTGCCGTTGCAATTAGAGCTCGAATAGTGCCATAGTGACACACCAGGCTAAATCTGTCTGTCTGTACCCTTTTGCTACTAAATGGGCCTTGAATCTCTCAATTGAGCCTTCACTATGTAAACCTAGCGATTGTCGAGGATTTTACGACCATTAGGTCACTCAACAAGTTGCCATGTTCGGCATGCAAAGCCATTTCTTCTTCCATGGCTCATTTCTAGTCATCGTATTCATGAGACTTCATTGCTTCGTCATATGTTTTAGGCTCTTCCAACTTCAGAATGCTGTTATACACGTTGTAGTCATAAAATCTGACAGACCATTGGACAGACGAACGGTGTGACAGTGTACATGCGGTCATTTGTGTTGGTTCATCCTCATCAGTGCATAGATCACCAGCCCCCTGTGTGTCTGCATCATCGTGTAGATCCTCCAAAATAAACTTCATACCGCTTGATAGACTGGTATTAGATGCTATTTCTGAATGTTGGGAAGTAGGGCCAATTTGCCGTTCATTGAACACTACATTGGCACTTTTTATCGTATCATTCCTTGATGGTATGAAAATGCAATACCCATTGTCATCACAATAACCAACCAAATAGCCCTTTAAAGCCTTATCATCTAATTTGGTACCTGTACAAATGCAGCTGATCCAAAAACTCGAATTCTGTTGATTTCCGGCATGTGTCCAAACCATTCCTCAAACATAGATTTTCCCATAAGCTTACTTGATCCGGTTCGATTGAAAACGTAGACAGCTGTAGATGCTGCTTCTGTCCATAGGAACTGTGGTAGGCCTGAACCTTGATCACAGTGCAAACTGCATTCATTATTGAACGATTCTCTCTTTCAACCAATCCGTTTTGTCCTGGTGTGGATAGTGATTCGCAGCTTGATGCCTGCATCATCAATGTCACTATATGGCATAGTGATTCGCAGCTTGATGCCTGCATCATCAGTCAGTTTCACCAATTTATCAGTGTCAAATTCACGTCCACCGTCTGTGACGAGTTCTTTTACATTTATACCATCTTTGTTGGTCCGAACAAGAAATTGCTTGATTTTATCCACAGCCTCATCTTTATGTCTCAGAAATTCTACATGTCAAAACGTAGAGTAATCGTCCTTAATCACTAACATGTACTTCTTTCCACCTCTTGATAAGACTGGCGATTCGAGTAAGTCTGCATGTATTATCTCACCAGACTTTTGTGTTTTGAATAGTTTTGGTTTAAATGTTCGTTGACTTTGTTTACCACACACACATGGCATCAAAAAATAGTCCATCATTGATAAAATCTATACCATTTTGGCGCAGGTACTCTTTCATGTATTCCTTGATGCCAAAGTGATTATGGCAATTTTGTCATCATCTTCATTACCATCTCATCAAAAGGAGTTGTCATTTCATTGGCAACCAAGTAGGCTGCAGCAGCAGAACCCCTTGTGGCTTAACTGGTTTTGCACTTAGTTCAAAAATTCCATTTGATGAACATAGGGCCTCTGAAAGTATATTATCTTAGGTCTCCTTGCGAAAGAAATGACAGATCATATCATCTGAATCACCAAAGTTTGAGATTTCTTTGCTTCATTCCCTTCGAAGCTGAAAACAAATTTTTGCCAGTTTCTGGTGCATACAGTACATCAGTGAGCTCAATAGATTTTTGTATGTTTCCAACCGTTGCGCACATGTTAAAGTGATGGTACGTCTTGAAATACTCGGCTGAATATGTAATGTGTGCTGTAGCTCCATTATCTTTAAGCCATACATTTCAGCAACAGTCATCTTGACAAGCAAACGCGCTGCATTGAGTATTTGCGAAGAAGTTCTCTGGTTTGCCATTTGTCGTAGTTGGCATGTCAGGGAAAACTGGACAAAATTTACCAATGTGCCCAGGTTTATTACAACGAAAACAGATGCCATTGAAACCTTTCACACCATCACTGGTCTTACTAAGTTTGTTCATCGTTTTGGCATTATTTGTTGTCAAGGTTTGGGATTGGCTGACCATCTGAGGTTTTTTACCGCCCTTCTTCCATCTCTTTCCATTATGTTTTGCGCCATAATTAGCATTGCCACGAATGTTATCATACTTTCGTTTCTAAGCTCTTGATTTCTTCTTGCAGCCACATGTTGATCTGTTCGATCAGTTTTTCAGGTGACTTTTCTGTCTTTGGCATTCAGTCCTACTGTGATTTGAACTTGATATTCGTCATCAGGAAGAATAGATAAGATTCGTTGTGCTAGCAAGTTCTGCGGTAATTTTCCTTCACCGCTCAACTCTTGCTCACGTTGAAGATCCACCCACAGTGTACGTATACGCGTGAGTGATTGCATTACACTTTCGTCTTTCTCGATCCGAAAGATGAAAAATTGTTGCAGAAGTGTGTCCATTGTTACGCTTGACACCTTCTCAAAATTACTTAATAACTCATTCGATATCGTAGTGCAGAATTACCATGCATACGGATCAAATTTAACACATTCGGTGACACATTTGTGCGAATGATCACAGCAGCTTTTGCATACGCTTTTGTGACTTCGCTGTACTCGCGTATCGTCTTTTTATTCACACCTTCTGCCGGTGCTATCAAAGATGCCCACACAATCATTGAGCACAAACAAAGAGTTTATTTTAAATTTCAAAACAGTCCAGTTGGATAAACCTTCCAATTTGGTACACTGAGCAAAATTTTTAGCATCCATATTACGTCGTCGTTAACCAGGAAATATGCAGCCAGGAAAAGCTATCGGTACACTGTAGAGATACACTGTGTAGCGAACACACTGTTCAGGTGTAAGTGTTGAAAGCAACAACAAAAGTAACAAAAAATCCGCAATTCAAATCCATCAACATAGCCATCGTTACTTTATTTGCGCAGTTAAACATCGCTAAAACCCATAACCTGTTATAAAATTAACAAAGCAGAGTGATGGCTAAATGAATTTCGTACTTTAATAACAAAAAGGGTAAAGTGAACTTACGTACGTCTTATTGTTTACATAAAAACTTTTAGAATGGCAGATGCATAAAACATAATAATACAACAAAACAATGATGTCACTGAAACTGCACATAACATCAATTAAATGCAATCAAAAATATTAATACATTGTTCATCATCCAAGATCCTTTTTGTTCAGATAATTTGTTCATGATCCGAGGTTTCACTGTATTTGAGAAAAGTGTCTCTTACATTTGTTAACATTTATATTTACTTGTTACATACTTGTGCTTGTAATAAAAAGGCCTTTTTAATAGGTGGCGATCACACACGAACGAAAACTGTTGTAACATCGAAAGTTGGTGCTCTATCTGCTTTTACAAAAAAGAGAAGTACCTGTATTGGATGCCGTTCTCTTTTAGACAAAGATGGTAAATAAATAAGCATGTTTTTTTAACATATAAACACTGTGTTCACAAAAGTTCTTATCAAGCCTTTATTTTCACAACCATTTGTCATAGATCCAGTCACAAGAATATTTTAAATGATGCAAATATTTATATTTGGGTATTTTCATATTTTAAAAATCTGTTTTGTATAAAATAAAAACTCTAAATTTTTTAACCCAATCATCTGATTTTTGTACTTACATGTAGAAAAATTTTGTACTCTCTATGAAAAAACAGGGTTCATACGGTCCTTAAAAGTCCTTAAATTTTTTGGAATTGATTTTTGGTCCTTAAAAGTCCTTAATTTTGGCCAAAATCAGCAGAAGGTCCTTAATTTTAATCATCTGAAATTTCTGTCTGTTTTTATGACTGCCATTTTGAGTGTGAATTAGCATTTTGGAGGAATATTTTTGGCGATTCACTGACATATATGGTTATCTTTTGAATGGGTTCATGGGTTATAATTTGTTTCTATTTCTAATAAAATGATGGGATACTCGAGTTTCTAAGCAAGAAGTGAAACAAGCATTTCGAAATTCCTTTTTTCTAATAAAGAACTCTTAAACAACTTTTCACTTTTGGGGATGTGAATTCTTTTATTAAACAGCTCTAAATTTGGCGATTTTAGGATCAGTTTCTATAGAAAATTTTTAATTCCGAGATCTGACAATTTTTCGACCAGTTTTTTTAAAGCATCATAACATTGATAAATTTCATTAAAATAATGGTAATATATTGAAATTATATATAAAAAATAACATTAAAATAAAACATTCTATTTTTTGCTGTCATATTATAAAGTTTCATTTTGGCAACTTATACAATATTATGAATCTGATAAATAAGGCATATTGCTATAAAGCAAAATTTACGAAACAGCTCTTAGCAAGAGCAAAATTAGCTATGCAATTAATTAAAAATGTCTTCTTTTTAATTTTTTCATAGTAAGCGTTTTCCCCCATGCAATTGTCTCGGAATATTCAAAATTCTCAAAATATGCATCAGTTTCCTCTATAAAATTAATTTTACAATTTTTCCCTCCTTCTTTTTTTTCAAAATATTTCTGACTTTTTGCTGTTACAGAATTGGTAGGGATAATTTTTCTTTAGGAATTTAGACATTGCAGCTTGGAAAGTTTAGAAGGGTTTGAAGTCAAGATTTATAGACCCACGATTCTAGAAGATTCGAGAAATATGTGACAAAATGAAAAATGTCTCTATGATATTGACACATAATAGATGTATTTTACAGAAAGTTTGCGATGAATTTTTTACCTTTTGGAGAACGTCTGGAAGAACAATGAAAACATAATATTTAAATGTTTTACTCCTGATACTAGAATCTTTTTCTTAACATGTTTATCTTCCCTTTATTTTCTCTACCTTTCACTAGACACAAGCATAAAAAATATCAAAAATGCTTCTAATCTTATCACTGGGCAGGCATTATAGAAAGGGATTTTTTTTTATTAATAAAGAAATTGAAAACTTAGAATTTAAAAGATTCATCTAATATGCCTTAATGCATCATATACAGAGCTGGCACTAGGCATTTTCCCACCTGATGCAGTCTCTGTGGATCCTAAATTCTAAACGTTTTGCTATTTCTAGATTTGTTGTTCAGTGTGTCGCTAAATTCTAAAAATTCTGCCACACCAGCTTTGTAACCGAGCTTTACCACATATATTTCATATTTCTTCTGAATGTTCATATTACTAAAGAAATAGAATTAGCCACTTTTTCTATACAATCTAAATGCATTTAGTGTTTTTTAGAATAACAGAAATAATTAGATCCAAAAATTCTAAAATGAAAAGGAACCATGTTGAAGAAAGAAACTGAATACATAAAGAAAATTACTCCTCAAAGATATGTGCAGTTATTATTATGTAACTTACCCAATTGTTTATAATTTCAGCCTTTCGTTTTATGATTCAGTCGGGGGTTTGGGACTATTTAACTTTTACCAGATCAAGTAAACCCTCATAGGTACCTTGTGGAGATGTTGAGAAGTTAGGAGATAAGCACGCAGAAACTAGCGAGAGCATTGGTTTGCATATTGAGACAACTCTCTAATTGTTAGAAAAGATGATTAAAGAGAAGAAAATCGATATAAACTAGCCAAAATGTTTGGAAAGGCTTCAAATTAAAATGAAGGATAAATATTTTGTTGAGTGTTGTTACAAAACATAAATGTTTTGTAGCTTTTAATGTGTATCCTAATATCGTTTAAGAATCAATGTCATAAATTACATGTATTTTAAACTATGAAATTTTATTAGATTTTGATTTTAATAGGCTTTTTTTAACAAATATTGTTAAAAAATAAAATTTAATAGTGGTCATGAAAATCCATAATGACTAAGGTTATCTAATTACCTAATTTAATTATTTATAACTAACTGCTTACCCTTAAACGTTATTTCTACATATTAAAGCGTTATTTATTGCCTTTCATTAACACTTACTGTAGTCACAAGATAAAACACAAAAATTTAAAAATTCAAGTAAAACTTATTCTTTGCATCTAGTGAAACTTAAAAATAATACAAAACAACTTATCATCTCTGGTACTTTAATCGCTTATTGGAACATTAAAGTATATTAACTGGGCTACAATCCCTTGGAACTCTACACAAAGCTATGACACTAACTGCATCAAACAGAGCCTGACTAAGTTTCAACACTTGCCAACTGTGTCTACATCAGACCTTTCAGGTTTGTTCTAATGAGCAGGTCTCTCTCTAGACAAGCAACAGCGGTGACAACATTCAGTCTTGTTATGAGTCATGCTGATTATGATCTTACTTCTCATTTTAACCTATACCGTTTGACATAAAATCTACCTGCTATTTACTAAACGTCTAGACTGACTAAGTATGTAACAAAATGAGACATAAAAAAATCAACATAAAGCTAACTGTTAGTAAAACGTAAGTAAATGTCATCTTCTTTCAAATATGTCCAACTATTATAAGTGCAAAATATTTAATCGTACTTGATTAATTGCAAAAAGTTTATTTTATTCTCAAACTTATTAATCATTATGTTAATTCATGTTTAGTAATAATGCATACTACTCGGATCTATTTTATTTTTAGGATGGTTTTACAAAAGTGAAATTCAGGCATAGAATAGTATTTTTAATTGAATCTATTCAGTTCCCATTTGCTCATAGGTCCTTAATTTTTTCATTAATGGTCCTTAAAAGTCCTTAAAAGTACTTAATTTCTGTGTGCAGAAATGTGTACAAACCCTGAAAAATAAAATATAAAAAGGTTTGCCTTTACAATAAAAACTGAATGAGATATATACTTAAAATCTGCAATTTTTAACATTGAGGCGTCTTTTGATAAATAAATTGTAACAATTAAAGGATTTCTAGAACACAAATTCTGTAAGATTCTATAAAAAACTTCTCTTTTTTTTTATAAAGAAAAAGATATTGATCAGTACTTTTCATAATAATCTGCATAGAAATGCATGTCATTTAATCTATAAATTTCAGAGACATTTAAGTGATATTTAATTTTTAGTTAAATACAAATCCCAACAGTTCACTTTTCAGTTTGTGGTCACCCCCTGAATATGACATCCAATTTTAAATAAAATATATCTATCAATTTTAGTTGTTCAAGAATACTGTTTGTATTGTACTTTTTATAATGAGTATAATTTATGCCTAAATATAAGAACCGGGAAACTTCATAGTTTTTATTTTTATTATTATTATTTTTTAATTTAAAAATGCCGGAACATGAATCTTGGCATCATTTGAAACATTTTTCTAACTAGATATATATGTCTACAACCAAGACAGTTTTTATCATATTCATAGTTTTTCATATCATATTCATATTTATTCATAGTTTTTATTTTATTATTATTTTTTTTAATTTAAAAATGCGAACATGAATCTTGGCATCATTTGAAACATTTTTCTAACTAGATTATATGTCTACAACCAAGACAGAAGTTGGGTAAAAACTTAGGTGAACACAAATAGTTTTCTGTTAGAATCCCGATACTTGAAAATATCAAAATGTATTTGCATATCATATATATTCAAATTTTAATACTTGTTTATTATCTAGCAGCCACTAATACATTGCAAACAATCTGTTAATTTAATTAAATTAAAAAATAAATGATGATGACTTTTATTACTTTGCTGCTTTTTTCTCTATTTTTCTGATCTCCACATGCTTTCAGTTTGCATGTGGATGCATGTGTTTGCATGTTCTTGAGATGAAAGTTAACCTAGGAACAACATGTATTGATTAGCCAACAAGTAATAACATTTTATTTAATGCTTATTTTTGTCTATGTATCATTGGAAATGTAATAAATTAAAATTTCATGACAAAATACATTGTAAGATTCAAAAGTCCCCGAACTGAGCCTGTAACTTAAAAATTTTTTACAGTAGTTGCGACTGTGAGAACATTTTTGTGTTACTGCATTCTCCTCTTTTTCTAAAAGTGGTTTGTCCCAAATCACGTATTCGAAAGCTCACAGTGACAGCATTTTTCATAAGCAAATGCATTCAGTAACCACCGATAGAAAGAAATGGTGTCAGTTGAACAGAGAATCAATACTGAATTGTGTGGTTGCTTGGGAAAGAGTGCTATGGAGACTTTTGAAATGTTGAAGCGTGTGTATGGAAGTGAAGCGTTATTGAGAACGCAAGCTTTCAGGTGTCATCGTTGTTTCAGAAATGGCCAGGAATTTGCCAAAGACGACGAGCGCTGTGACTATCCCGTGACTTCGTGCACTGATGAAAACATCAAAAAGGTGTCTGCGGCGGTACATGCGAACAGGCAACAAACAATTTGCCAAATAGCAGAGGCCACATGTCATCAGATACTGACTAAGAATTTTAACATGCATAGGGGGTGTCAACACATCGTTCTCTGCATGTTAAACATAGACCAAAAGGGAATTCGTATGGAAATGGCGGAAGACTTAATCTCGACTGTTGAC